CCCCAAAACCCCAAAACCCCTTGAAGTGAAAATTGTGAAAATTTATCGAAAAATAAAAGGATATTAAACTAAGAATAAAATAGGTGGCTATATTTGAACACTAGTGTTGCTTATTTTTTTGCTTATCTATATGTTTAAGGGATATTCCGCTATTCATAATGCTTGTTTTGGGTCTGTATGACAATTATTCTGCACTTTATGTTCATTTTTTATGCATGGACATATCCTTCTATGCTCATTGCTTTTATTGTCACAATTGAATAGCATTTGATAAGATGAAACGAAGCATTAGCCTTGTAGCATGAGGCTGTTTGCTTCGACTGTGTATGTATTTCGAACATCTTCTCTTTCTTATTCATGCTAAGCATCAGTCCTTCGGAACTACTTTTAGTACATCTTTATTGTCGATTAAGGCACCTTTAAAGAAGGAGCAAATGAATTGAAATCCAGAGAGCAAGTCAAGCATTAAAAGTGCTTCTAGAGCTGTTCACAATTGTTCACCAGCTTCATATGTCGAGGATCACATCTTAAGTTTCCTTGCAATTGGTTATTATTATCCCAATCATTTTTCTCTTCCTCTTTCTCATTTTGATCAATATCTAATTTAGAACAAGCTTAGTCACAGTTCTAATCCAAACTATAAAAAGAACGATTAATAAACACATTTTTCATTGATAATATTAGCACAGCAGCATCATATGTTGAAACTTACTCAGAGATAGTTATCCTAACATCCTGCTATAAGTTATCAGAAAAGCAATACTTATAAATCTTATCACTAAAATATGTATCGTGAGAATATTAAATAGTTACTTGTAATATCTATTATGGTTGATTTCCTGAGAGGATATTCTACAATCATCCAGACACTAGTTAAAGGAAAGATTAAGTCCATTCATGCATTTGTATACACACGATGACTGATCAGAACAGCAGCTATGAATAAGGTCAGTTATGACTGATATAAAATGATGACGTTACATACTTTAGGTTTGAATCACAATCTAAGGAGATGTCCTCAATTTTTCTGAGACAGCAATTAGTCTAGATACTTACATCTTGCAAATAGCAAAACACTCCATTAGAGTCTAGTGTCAATTCGCTATTTGTTAGTGTTCTTTGGCACTAATTGTATTTTCCATTATTATTATAATTAGATTACAATGTTTGAAGACGTAAGTTTTTTTTCCTGGTCATCTTGAAGCTGATCTTCTTTGTCAGTTTGATTCCTTGAATCGATATGTGAATCGTCTACTTATGAGTAAGTGTCATTCATTTATATTTGTTGAATTAGATCCTTTATCCTCTTCTGATAGTCCGTGTCCTAATTGATATCATCTTCTGACTGCTCTTCTTCGTAAATTAGAGAATCACCTAACCCATGGCCATCTGAATGTGTTGTGGTCTTTTTCTAAGTAACTATAGATCCAGATAAGCTAATGAGTTTTAATTATTTTCATCTTACCTCCATTCTGCATGTAGTATAGATCAAAACCTATGTTAGCGATAAAGAATATCACTAGCATTATGCATAGAACTATAAAAGAGTATTATGAAATCCAATATATTTTACTTATTCTGCCTCTTTTTCGCCAAAATCATTTAAATTTAGACTCATGTATAACCATTTAGGGTGGCTCAGGCAAAGATAGATCCCCACTGAACTCTAATAAAATAAATTGAATTTTAGGAAGGAGCTTAATGGTAATTACTCGTCTGGTTGAAGATCTTAGTCCTTTGTGAGTTAGAGAGCTATTCCTTATGAATAACTATATTATTCATGTCTATGTCTATATTTTTCTCTTCCATTTCTAATTAAATATTATGAGTATTTATTCACCTTCTTCACTTTTATTCCCCTTTTTTCACTATATAAATGACATCATGGGGTTTTGGGGTTTTGGGGTTTTGGGG